TCCCATTCTGGCCCCCTAACCTCTCGCCCTCCCCCTTCCCTCTGCCCTTCCCCCACCCTGCTTCCGGCCCCTTAACAGCCCTGGCCCCACAGCCCCTGCCCTCCTCTCTCCCGCGCCCCACTCCTACACTGCCCTTTTCAACACTCTTCTGTTATTGTCCTCTGTGTACAGTATATATATGTATATATATTTTAATTTTTTAATTTAAGCAAAGACTAAAATCAACCATTTGATGCTGCAGGGGCCCTTCAGGATCTGGGAGGGGGGCGGTCTGGAAAGAAGGCATGAGATGCAGAGGTTGGCTTGGGGCGGGTTCAGATTAGGAAAGTGAAGGCTGGCCCTTGCATCCCCATGTCCTGTTCGTTTCCACTTCCGGATCTGGCTGGTCCCTGTAGGGCTTGAATGTCACAGGCTGACTGGAACCTCCAGAGGTGCCCGCGTCTGCCCCCAGCCTCAGCAGCGCCACGAGGCATGACCAAGTGCCAGAGACCATCAGGCCGCAGGGGCAGGAGGCCAGCCTCCGTGGCTACCCGGCAGCCCCTCCTGCCCCTTGCTGGCTCCCAGCTCCTGCCCCTTCCGAGGGCCCCCGACTCCATGGGCCACCTCATTTTCTGTTCTCATTTTGCAGAGTTGCACAAGGAGAGAACTCAGCATGGGGGGTTGGTTCTTTGGGTTTTGTTTTCTGTTGGTCTGTTTGTTTAATTTAATGATTTGTAAAGTGATGTTCCTCTTCCTTTTTTTACACTTTTCAGCTCATATTTAACCTCTGTTTGGAAAACGATTCTTGTAACTGTACATTTTTTTGCCTCCTAACAACACGAATAAATGACCAGTTTTGTGTTGGGGGCGGTGTATGGGGCCGCTCATTTGTCCGTTGGACGCCACGGAACGGCTGGCAGGCCCGCACGCTGGGCACAAACAGCCGCAGAGAGGGAGGCACGCGCTCACACGGGGCACACAATGGCACTTCACAAAGCGGCGCCCCACACGTGTGCGGGGCCTCGCCCGGCCGCCTCCTCCCTCCCTCGTCGGACTCGCACGCGGTCAGCTCGGCCTTGGACCTGCCTGGGTCTTAGGGCCGCGTGGCGGGAGGGCGGGCCTGCGCCTCCCCTGCGTCCGTTAGGAACCCTCCCTGCGGCCACGCTGCACTGCCCTCCAGGGGGCGCTGCTGGGCCTGCGGAGCCCGCTGGCTGCCCTCCTTCCCCGCCTGTCTGTTGGTCTGTGCTACTGATTTCCTGGGAGAGGCCGAACCCTTATTCCTCTGCCCCATCCCAGTCCTTTCCCCCACTTGACCCCAGCCTTCAGCGCTGGTTCCCGCCCCCCTCCTTCCTGCCCACAGCTGCTGCTTCAGAGCCTTGCAGGCCCTGCTTACCCAAATCCGGGGCCATCTTGACCCAGTTTTGCAGGAAAGCCCCGCCTCTCCCCTGCTCCGCCCCCTTCAGCCTCCTGTCCCCACCCGAGAATAGAACCGGCTTCTCCAGCAGCTCCGATTTCTCCTCTCTTCCTGCCTCTGCAGGAAGAAGGAGCCATGGGTCCTTTATATCTGGGAGCGGGAATCCCAGGGCACAGGGTCTTTGGCTTCCAGGGTCCTGGGCCTGCCCCGTTGGCTTTGACGATGCCCGGGGCTTCCTCCAGCAGGTACTTTCTAGTCAGAAAATGACTTGCCTGGAGAGGTAGTTCCCCTTTGCCAGAGGAGTCGGAGGAAAGAATGTGGATGGAACTTGGCAAATGGAGCAAGATGATTTTAAGGTGTCTCCCAGCTCCCGAGGAATAAGAAATGTGCCCCCTGGTTAAGGAGGTTGAAGCTGGGGCCAGGCTGCCCCCCTGCGCTACTGGCTGCAGAGGTCGCAGGGGTTGCCCTTGGCCTAGGAGGCTGAAAGAGGCCTGACAGTCACTCATGTAGGGAGCAAGACAGGCCAGGTGTCAGGCCTGACCAGCCTTTCCCCGTCCTGAATCCCCCGATGAAGGGTGACATTGGAGCTTAGACAGGATGAGCGGCTTACTAGCAAGCAGGCGCCTGCACCTACCATCCTACCAGGGTGCCTGCACACAGCAGGCGCCTAATAGGACCTAAAGAATTTGTGGAAGTTGGACAGGGAACAGGCTGTGCATATATGCGTAAATCGTTGGGGCCCTTTGATGTCCCACAGCCTGGGTGAGTTTGGGGGGTACCCTGGCAAGCCTACTCTGTAGTACTAGAGAATTCATTTCCCAAAAGGAAGGAAGAAAAGGTGCCAGGCGTCATGCCAGATGCTTTATACATCTTGTCTCATTTAATGACTGTAGCCCTCCGTGAGGAGTTGTTCCCATTTTACAGATGAGGAAACTGAGAGGCTCAATGACTACGTCCAGCCCAATCGAAGGGAGGCGATTCCCAATGCAAAATGCATGCGCTCTCTGTCCTCGACTCCCAGCTGAAGGGGGAGTGGATTGCCCTCTCCCCCTCTGGCCTCAGGGTCTGAGGGCTGGTCGAAAGTCCACCCTAAGGGGGAGGGAGAATGTCCGTCCTGCCTCTGAGCATCCCAGCTCAAATCCGCCACCCACTGCTGTGCCAACCTGCCCCCCCCCACCAGAAGCCCGGGACCCCTGAGCAACAAACGCCACATTGTTCCCCCAGCTGGCCCAGGCTGGAGGGACAGTGGCTCTTTCCCAAGGCCCTGCTGGTCTGCTGACTAATCTTGCAAGCCATTCACGTCGGCAGGCATGGAAGGCAGGGCTGGGGGCAGGGCCCCGGAGACACCACCTTCCCCCTCACATCAGCTCTGAGCTGGCCAACCAGCAGGAGGGAGAGGCAGGGGTGGGGTGCCCTCTGTGGAAAAGTCCCCCCAAACAGGATGTCAAGCTGCCGCCCCCCCCCCCGCCCTCAGCCTTCCATCCTCAGCGCCCCACGAGTGCCAGACTTCACCTCAGCTCACCCCACGCCCCCTCCCTGCATCCCATAGGAAGCTACTGGTGCATCTTTAACTGGGGGTAGGGATGGGGGTAGAGAGGGAGTTGGGAGAGTTTGTGGAGAAAATGGCCCCAGTATCTTCAGTGCAGCAAGCCTGCCTTTGGCTCCCTCTCCAACCTGCCCCCCACCCACCCATCTTAAGTTTCTACAGACAAAGCTGAAAGCTTCAGTCACTGTGGCAACAGGTCTGCTGAGAAATGGGTGGGTGTCATTCCCCAGCACAAAGAGTGTGCGCATGGCAGCTCCGTCACTTAGCAACGGCCTCCCTCTCTCTTGGCGTCACCCGTCCTGGGGGTGGGTGCCAGGAAGAGAGAACAAGGCCATTAAGATCCCCAAGAGAGAGGGAAAGGAGGCTTGGGTCCGGGCAGGGCTGAGGCCAAGGGGTGTGGGTGGGGTGGTCAGAGGAGAATGGAGTCCAGTGCACTCAGCAACCTCTGTCCCTCTCCATCCCTTCCAAGGCCCCGTGCTGATGTTCTAGGTGGATCTGGCGGGCAGAAGTTGCCGGTGGGACCCAGAGCTGCACTTGCGACAAAGCAGGGCTTATGAGGGGGGGAGTGGTTTGTGGCCTAGGCCTAGGTGTCCCTCCTGGTTGGCCCTGTGCCAGCTCCTCTAGGCCCAGACAGGGTGAAGGGGGCCTTTGGAAGGACCCCAGAGGGGGACCCGGCGGAAGAGGGACACCCGGGACAGGGCCAGCAGGAGGAGCTGAGAGGGTCTCTGAGGGCACAGAATGGAGCTCTGGCTGCCAGAGAGGGGTGGGGGGGACCCAGGGGGCGGACAAGGAACAGGCAGCTGGGCCATCTACAGGCAAAACAGTCTGTTCTAAGAAACGGAACAAGAACAGCTCTCAGAGTCAAAGAGGCTGGAAGGCCCCGGGCTCACCGAGGAAAGGCTGCTGGTTTCTCTAAAATGGGGGCTTTGTGGAGGAGGGGGAACAGAGGTGGGGGCTCCAGAAGAGCTGTTTGCAGCCTTTTGACTTCCCAAGGATGCTCGGGCTCAGGCCAGGACAAAGACTCAGCATGCCACCTCCCAAGCCCTCCATCCACTCTGCCCCTCAAAAGCCATAGAGCCAGGGCACCTGGGTGGCTCAGTTGGTTAAGCGTCTGACTTCGGCTCAGGTCAGATCTCATGGTTCATGGGTTCAAGCCCCGCATCAGGCTCTGTGCTGACAGCTCAGAGCCTGGAGCCTGTTTCAGATTCTGTGTCTTCCTCTCTCTCTGCCCCTCCCCCACTCATGCTCTGTCTCTCTCTGTCTCAAAAATAAATAAACTATTTTTTAAAAAAAAAGCCATAGAGCCATAGGGCTAGGCAGGACATCAGCCACAGGCCATAAAGGGCCAAATGCGGCCGGGAGGCATCCCCACAGGGTGCCGCCTGTCCTGGAGAAGGGCCAGGTGCATCCATGCATTGTCAGGATGTGGCAGAAGAAAATCCAGTGGGCACAGGGATGGTTCTACCTAGTTTATTGTTTTTGAAGAAGGCCCTTCTACAGGGGGTTACCTACATTGGGGGAGAGGGGAAGGGTGGGCACAGGGCAACCCAGGATATGTCAGAGAAGGAAGAAGAAAGAGAGAGAAATCCTCCAGAAGAAGAGAAGGTGCCAGGAGGAGGAGGTGCCTAGGGCTGGGGCGGACCTGGCCCAGAGAAGAACCAGGCAGGACAGGCCCCCAGAGGGCCCCGTATTCTAGGACGGATGAGAGTCAGAAGGCAGTGCTTAGAGAGGAGCCAACTAAAGGACAGCAGATTCCAAGACAGAGGCAGGTGAAGTGCTAGCTCCCAGCTGGGGGACTGAGAGTTTCTAGGCAGTTCTAAGGACCCGGAAGCATGACCACCCACCGAGGACAGGGCTGGAAGACCCCAAGAGACAGACGGGGAAGGCCCTGTTGGGCGAAGGGGCTTCGACATCCCCGATCCCCGACAAGAGGAACCAAGTCACCCTCTAGACAGCAAGACGGGCAGAGGAGCAAGACCTAAGGGGCCAGAAACACCAGACACAGGCTGGGGGGCACCCTCCCCGCCCGGCCTTGCCCCTGCTCCTGTGCCTCCCACGCCGCCCCCACCCACCCCCCAAGCTGCAGCTTGGCCCTCAGCAAGGCGTGCCCAGGGGCAGGAGCGGGGGCGACTCCCTGGGCTTGTGGAAGTAGATGGAGGAGGGCAGCTCGGTCTTGAGCTTGCTGTCCGAGCCGCCGGCGCCCGAGGGCTCCGAGGCACCACCGCACTCGGCGCAGCAGCAGCAGCAGCAGCCCAGGAAAGCCCGGCCCAGCGGCCTGCAGATACACAGCAGGAGCACAGGGGTGATGGCGCCCTTGAAGAAGATGGAGAACTGGTTGATGAGGCCCAGGAGGTCCAGGGTCTGGCGAGTGAGCTCGGTGGAGAGGTAGGCCACCACGATGTTGCAGACGTTCTCAGGGAGGGTGCAGAGGGCGTAGACCACGGTCAGGCCCACCACCGTGCTGTTGAGCTGGCTCTCACACTGCTCGTGTTTGCCTGCCCGGCACTCGGGCTTCCTCCTAGGAGGGCTCCGCACCCGCCACGTCACCAGCTGGCAGGTGACCGTGAAGAGGATGGGCAGGCAGAAGTAGCAGCCAAAGTACCACCACATGCGGGCGTTCTGGTATGTCATCACCAGTGAGTAGAGGGACTCAGGCAGGCTGGCCGAGGGTTTCATGATGCATGAGTCCACAGTGCCCGTGGTGGGGGCAGGCTCCTGCGACAGCTGCCACAGCAGGAGCTCGGGCATGGCCAGGATCATGGAGCCCACCCAGATGACGGCCAGCTTGGCCAGGATGGATTGGCACCTCTCGATAGGCCTCACCTTCGGTAGGGTGCTGGTGGTCACGTGGAAGCGGTCGATGCCCAGGGCGCAGAGACTGAAGGTGGTGACTCCCAGAGAGGAGACCTGCGGGCAAAGGTGCAGAGGAGGAGAGAAGCACCTGGTCAGACCCAGGGGGCAAGAGAGGAGGCATGGCTTCTGGTTTAGATGGGAACCTGGGTGGTAAGTGTAGAAATGAGAGTAATGACAGCCACCATTTAGTGAGCAAACATTTTCCGCACATCGGGCACTTCACGTACATTGCCAGCTCCTTGCAGTAGACCATCATACGGATGAAGAAACTGGCTCGGGCAGGATGAGTGACCTGGGGGGTGGCAGAGTTGACATCCACATGCAGACCGGCCTGACTCTTTCCACCCTGCTTCTTTGCCTCTTGGGCTAGGGAATGAATGACCTGGGTCCCCCAGACCCATATGCTCTCTGAGAGACTCTGGAATATCTTCTCTAATGAAGAATCAAGACAAAGGCATAGGAGTTTTGGGTCTTTGCATGTCCTTCCATCCCCAGATCCCATGATCCCATTATGCGCATCAGGTGAAAGATTTTTGAAATACGGCTCACACACACACACACACACACACACACACACACACTCTTCATCCTATCCAAGAAAGCTGGGGGCCTGGCTGTGTGAGGAAGCAGTCTGTACCCACCCTCCCTGATGCTATTCATTGAGCACACAGAAAAATCACCCTGTGAGCCAAGAGAAAAAAGCCAGAGCAGCAGGGGAAGAAAGTTCCAGAGAGAAGAGAGGAAGAGAACCCTCCCAAGCTATCAGATGATCCTCAACCACATGCAGGGATTGTGCTCAGATCCCCCTTTCTGTCCAAATTCTTCCCTCTTCTGGCTGGGGGAGCACAGTCCCTGGCTCATTAGCACAGCCCCCAAGTGATCTTTGTGAGAACCGGCACCCCCCACTCCCTTGGCAGGGGGAGTCCAGGCCTGCGGAAGAGCAGTCTTTGGGGCTTGGACAAAACCACAAATGAAACACAACAATCCAAGTTGCCTTCTGCTCCCTCCTGAGGGTCTTCCTAGGACTCTTCCTATAGAAGGGTCCTGGGGCAGAGTATTTTCCCTCAACTCCTCCCCATCCCCCAGCCTGAGGAGGGACTCTATCAGCTCATGGACCATCTCTGTCCCCCAGGAGGTGTGGAGCAGGTGGCGCAGGAGGGTGTGGGCCACAGCCTAGGTATTAGGTATGTTGAGTCCCATAGTAAGGCAGGGCAAGCTTTCATGCAGACAAGAGTTCACATGCATCCACCCTCCTCCTCCCCTGCCCTTAGACCTCTTCCTGGTAAAACCCACCACTTACTGAATTATTTGAATTCTAAGGACTTTGTCGATATTCCCCATTTAATCCTTCAAGAATTCATTAAGATAGTTATTATTATTCCCAGCTTACAGATAGGGAAAACTGAGGTTTAGACAGATTCAGCAGCTTGCCTAGATCACTCAGCTAGTGAGGGGCAAAGCCTGGTTCCTAATCTAGTCCTCTTGTCCAACCTCTCACAGCGTACCTGGGTTCTGAGCCCCAGATGATAACTAGGAAGCCGAGGCTGGCCCCAGCCATAGTCTTCTTTCAGGTTTGAGTACCTTTGGGCCATGCTTAGGCAGTCTCCCTGGGTTGGGAAGGACACAAAGGGCTGCACCAAAATGCTGAGCCTCAGTCTGTCCAAATATGAGATTATCGCTAATATACAGTGAACTGGGGACAGAGTTGAGAATAGAACCTATGTCCCAACGTCCGATACTGATGCCTTCTCCACTCAGGCAAATCACACACGTCCCACAACATCATCTGCTCTCCGGAAGAGCAGCAGCCTTCGTGGGGAGGCCACCGTTACTCCAGTCCTCATTAGTAGCCCCCCGCCATAACCAAAATTTAAAAGGTTGCTGGCCTAGTCTGTGCTCCTATACAGACACAGTGGCCTTGCTGGGTCTTACAGAAATGCACATAGATTGGTATATTTTTGTAATGTTTGGATTAGGTTCTCTGTATCGGGTCTATACATCCATCATCACCCATGTGCCTGTGTTAGGTGGAAGTTCACAGAAATGAGGACAGTAATGCATTTTAAAATTGTGGAATAAACCTGCTGGTAGGGCCATCTGGTCTACCCCATGGCTGAACAATAAGCAAATCAGACAGGAGATGTGACCTGTCCAGTGATACTCAGTATGTCAGAGACAGCAACACTAAGCCCCTCACCCCCAGGCTCCAGCAACCAGAACTAGGTATTCCCTTTTAGAGAGGGACGACAACAGTCACAGTAAGGAAGGGACTTCCCTTCTGCCATTTGTGTTCAAGGGGAGTAGATACTAACCTGATCTAGGGGAGCTACAGAAGACTGGGCTCTCCTTTCACCCACTGCTTAGGGAAGCAGGATATTCAGAAGTCAAAAGGGGAGCTGTGGGTGCAGGGCAGCGGCCTGGCACAAAGGGAGAAAAAGAAGACACACAGTGGACAGAGCTATTTCTTGGGTGGAAAGACAGAGGGAGGGTTAAGGCAGAGAGAGGACAGCTCAGAGTAAAGAGAAAGGGAGAGAGATCTGCCTTAAGGCTGCTCCTGAAGTAAGAGACCAGGCCGGTGCTGGCCCCCAGGGCTCCCACACACCTTCCTGTTCCCCCTACGTGCCTTGGTTTACCTGGGAGCCACCAGGAACCAATACAGCATTTGTCTCCTTGCCAAAATTGGGGAAGAAGCAAGGCAGAGCTCCGGGCTTCTGGGGTCCTGCACACCCACACGTCCCACTTCGGACACCCTGACGGATTTGCAGCCCCAGAGCTGAGCTCCGGTAGCACACACACTCACCTCCATGAAGGGCACGGCCCGGCAAGAAACGTCACCCAGCAGCCTCTGCTTGGTGATCTCATTGAAGATAACAACAGGGAGGCAGAAAAAGAGGACCAGAAAATCCCAGAGGGCCAGGCTTGCGAGGATGGAGTTCCAAGCACTCTTCAGGTAGTAGCTGTGCCACACGATGCACATGACCGACAGGTTACCCACGATGCCTACAGCAAACAGCACCAGGGCCAGGAGCATGATGGCATAGGCACTGTAGGAGCTCTCGGTCACCGGGTACAGGGGGTTCTGAATCTGCAGCCTCTGACCTGGCGTCCCCGTCAGATTGCCCCGAGGCTCCTGCCTGCCACCTGGGCTGCCCCCGTTCTTGTCTGGGTTGGGGCTGGTGGCCACCAAGGGCTTGGTGGGCTGCAGGCCAGCAGGGTGGATGGGCCGCGGGTACTCAGCCCACTCCTCGGGCACATACTGCTGCACCTCCCTGGCCTCGTCATCCTCAGTGCCTCTCTTGGACCGGCTCTGCTGCTCCTGGGCCTCGGCTCTGTGCCTGCCCGAGTGCAGGGGGGCACCCCCAGCGGCTCTGCTTGGCCCCGCAGCCAACACCACAGCAAGAGAGATGGCCAGTGGCCACGGCCACTGCATGGCCGGATGAGCAGGAGGGAGCTGCCCCACGAAGAGCAGGTGAGAGCGAGGGACCCAAGTGCCGGGCTGACCGGAGAGAGGCAGCTGGCCGCTTGGTCCGCCTCCAGTCAGGCGTGGCATCGCCAGCCTGCTCCAGTGGACCCGAGCTGCTCCCTCCCACCCCGCTGGCCAGGGACCGGCCAGGGCCCTCTGCTGGACATAAAGCATTCATCTCGCCCTCCAGGACACTCATCCTCAGGCCCCACCGGGCACCAGCAGGTCAGACCTGCGGAGCCCACCTCAGAGGCCACCTGCGCCCAGCCGCTGAAGAGGAGGCTGGAGCCCGGAGAGGGCAGGTGGCCTGCCTAGGGTCCCACGGTGTGGAGAGGCACACCACGGACTAGAACACAGGCCTTCAGACTCTGCCCCAGGAGGCGGTGCTCTGACAGCTCCTACATTTGAAACTCATTTATTGAACACTCCCCAGATCCTAGCACTCGGCCGACGAACAACAGCTCTCTGGGAGGAATGCTATTACTACCACTTTCCAGGCTTTCTGCCTCTCACCACAGAGCTGATACACAGTAGAGCCAGGCTCCGGACCTGGATCTGACTCCAGAGCTTTGAACTCAACAGGCACAAGTGAGTCCATCTGCCTGCCTCCTAACCACATGAACTCCCCTCGGAAAACAGCAGAATCAAACATTTAAAACCACGTTCTGACCCAGACACGTGATGGATGGACATTTGCAATGGCCGATATTTACTGAGCACCTGCTACACTCCAGACAGTCAGAAAACAAATACAGAAAAGACCTCGGCCACCAAGGAGCTTTCAGTCCAGAGGGGGAAAGGGATATGTAAATAAATAATTACAATTCAGCATGGGAGATGCTGTGAAAGGCAAAGAACAAGTCTGAACCCAAAGGAGCCTGGAGGGATCTGGAAGGCGTCCCAGATGAGGGGGCATTTGAATGCTTCCTGAGAAATGGCTGTGAGCTTGCCAGACGACAGGGAGGGTAGTGCTCCTGGCAGAAGACACAACACGTGTAAAGACTTAGAGATGTGAGAGTAGGCCACGCACCTGAGAGCCAGCAAGAACGTCAAGGAGGCCAGAATGCAGGGGACTGCAGAGAGAGAGCCCGGGAGCTTGGAGCAAGGGGCCTGGGCAGGTCAGCAGAGGAAGGGCCGGGAGAGACTTTGTACACCAGGCCGAGGAGCCTACATTTATCCAGAAGGCAGTGGACAGTGTCACGAGCTGCTATCTGAGGAACAGGGACTTGAGCAGGTCACTTAGAGGGCTCCCTTACTGGCAGCTGAGGTCAAGGCGGGCAGACGCAGGAGGAGGGGAGGCAGGGGCCATCTGGAGGGTCGCAAAGAGCAGAGTGCGGGGAAACGGCCAGCACTGCGGGGCTTTGGCTGTGCGGGGGAGGAGGGACAGGTCAAGGCTGATCCCTAGGCTGGGGTGGACGGTGAGACACTCACCTGTGTGGGGAAGAACCTGGCGTGAGGGTGGGAGAAAACCCCGGCTTAAAGGAATTATCTGCAGTTCACAAGAAAGGCTAGAGCTGGACACGGAGATAGGAGAGTGGGTCAAGGGCGAGGCGGCCAGTGAGAGCGGAGAGCACACAGAGTGGGGGAAGGGGCACAGGAGGAGAATGGACGAAAAAAGAGGAGCCAGCAGGCTGCTGCGCTCCCGCTCCTCGGAGCTGGAACAACAGAAGAGCCACTGGACTTCTGTGGCTGGAGTTGAAAGTCACTTACGCAGTCCGCAAACATTAACCAGGGCCTCAGGAGCAGATCAACTTGGAAGTGATTTTCCTGGAAGCCTTTCTGCCCAGGAAAGCCTCCGTCCTACCTAGAGGGGCCCCAACCTGCTGAGCAAAAATAGGAATCCTAAGAAAAAAGGAAGAGGAGGAAGAGAAGAAGAAGAAAAGAAGAAGACTGACATACCCTCAGAAAAGGTCAGGGAGCATCCTCGGCTTTTAAAATTTTGTACCTTTCTGAGGCATCTGCATGGTGTGGTCAGCTCAGGTCATGATCTTGTGGTTTGTGAGTTCAAGCCCGGTGTCAGGCTCTGAGCACAGATTCTGCTTTGGATTCTGTGTCTCCCTCTCTCTCTGCCCCTCCTCTGCTTGTGCTCTCTCTCATAAAATAAATAAATATTAAAAATTGTAAAATAAATTTACAAAATTTTTATGTTTCTTACTTCTGTCCGTTCCTTCTGTGGAGACAGGAGGCGGTCTGCAGGACTGGCCTTGTCCGTGGTTCAGACTGCCACAACAAAGCTGCAGAGGTCTACCTAGAAGTTAGATTGGCCAAGGACTCACTCACTGTCCCCTTTGTTGCCACCACCCTCCTGGCCCCCACAGCAGAGAGGAGAGCCCAGGACTCAGGCTCCACATCCTCAGAAGGCATGGAAGAGGGGCTGGAGGGAGACGCATGGGTCACCAGCACTCATCCCAAACATCGTGTGGTCTACCCTTGGACTTGTGGGGGGTTTTGAAGAAAATTGTTTTAAGTTTCTTTATTTGAGAGGGACAGTGCAAGTTGAGGTGGGGCAGAGAGAAGAGAGAGAAGGGATCCTAAGAAGACTCAGTGCCATCAGCATGCAGCCCAACACAGGGCTCGATCCCATGAACCGGGAGACCATAACCTGAGCCAAAATCAAGAGTCGGATGCTTAACCGACTGAGCCCCCCAGGTGCCCCGGAAATGTGCTTTCTTAATCCCGCTAGAGAACTGACTCCAGGACCTGCCCCTACATGAGTCGGATCCTTCCAAACGCCCATGGCCCTTGGCCTGGTGTTGGTGAAACCAACTGCTGCCTGTGGTGCAGCTATTTTGGTAAATAGAGTCATCATCACCACCATTTATTGAGCATTCAGCAAGCGCCAGGCCATGTGCTAAACACTTGGTATAATTATCATACTTGATCTTTACATTATTACCCGAGGCTCAGAGACATAAAGTAACTTGTCCAAGCACACATAGCTCGCGATCATCAGCTGGCAACCAAATGCAGGTTTGTCCAACTCCAGAGCTGAAACTCTGAACCACTCTACGGTGTAACCCTACAGAATTTTTATCCAGGAGGAGCCCCTAAGGATGTTCTATACCAGCCCTCTTACTTTTCAGAAGTGGACACTGAAATCCAGGGAAGTCAAGGCCAGGCACTGATCCCTAGTGCTCCACCATCAGGCTAGTGCCAACACAGGGTAGACCTCAGTCCAGGGCTGGCATGTGGTGAGCTGGGAAAATGCTAGCCCTCAGCTCCTTCCTTATACTCATGAATATGCCCCACTGCACCAGAATGTGCCTTGCACAGAGTAGGGGCTCAAGAAACACTGACCGGCTGCGAGAGCACCCCATCTGCTGGTCCCGAGCCTCCTTGGATGTTAGGGTAGTTGTAACATTGGAGGCCACTAGGTGGAACCAGATGTTCAGCGATGGAAGTTAAGGAAGGCCTTCTCTCCCTCCGATCCTCCGGACCCCACCCTTCTGGAGCCCTGTCCACAGACTTTCTGCAGCTGTCTGGGGAGGCAGTCTGATGACATGAGTGGGTAGGTTCCCAGGGTCCGATACCAAGAAGGATGGTGTCTCACCTATCCCCTACCTACCATTTCACCCCACCCCTCCTGAGGGCACCCAACTTCTGCCTCGGTTGAGTCTTCTCCTTGGACCAGCCAGATGCGCCTCCCTTATGCATTAAGCATACCAAGCAGAAGGCAGAGTCTTCCCTAGCCCTTAGGAATGTCTCTCCCTGATTCCAGGAATTCCCCATTCTTCTCCCTGGGAATTTCCCCAGTGCTGGCAGAAAAGGTAATTAAGTAGGACAGGGTAGGAGACAGGGCTGGGACTGTCCTTTGGCAATGAATGAGGTGAGGGCTTCTGGGGCGCTGTGGAAGTGCCACCCCAGAAAATAATAGGAGCTAACATTTCGCTGAGCGAGTTCCATTACCGTACATTCTCCACCAAGAGAGTACTCTGGAACTAGTCTGGATGTACTCCTTAAATGGCTCTGCTACTTACTAGTCTGTGTGTGTGTGTGTGTGTGTGTGTGTGTGTGTGTGTGTGTGTGTGTGAGACTTTGGCCAAGCACTTAACCTCTCTGCCTCAGTTTCTTTATCTGATGCTAACAGGCTTGTTGTGGAGATGAAAGTTCGTTTGTGTAACTCACTAGAACAAGAGCTGGCACATAGTAGGTACTGTGTACGTGCTAGTGGTCATGATACCTCATTTAACTCTTGCCACGACCTGAGAGGCAGGGTGCTGTTCTCTCCATGGTGCAGATTAGGAAACTGGAGCACAGAGAGGCAGGAGGCAGCCGAAGAGGCAGGGAGGGCAAATGCCAAGACCAATCTCCCGGCTGCCGGGTTCTCGGCCTGAATAAGGACTTCCCTGTGGCCTGCAGCTGGCACCAGACCAGGGGCAGGGGAAGTGTAGACACTTCTGACCCCACTGGATCCCACTGTGCCAGTCTCCACACTCTGGGCTCCTGGGCCCCAGGGGCCTTGTGGTCTGCTCTGAGGATGGACCACAAATAGGAAAGCATGTTTCCAAAAAGTCGGGGGATCTGAGACCTGGTCCCAACGCTGCTACTAGCTAGCCCTGTAACATCAATAATCATGCATTCAGTTATTTTACAAATACTTGTTAAGCACCTACTGTGTGCCAGGCATTATCTTAGATACTCAGGAAACAGTGGACAACTCAACCATGACCTCTCGCTCCTGAAATTCCCACTCGAGTGAAGGAGGCAGCCCCTGATAAAACTAACCCCTATGCAACCTAACTATGCGCTGTGAGGACGAAGAGGAAAAGAGGAGGGTACGTACCATGGTGTCATAGACCCTCCCTTGTCCTACTGTCTTCTCCTTGGTGAAAGGTACAGAGTATTATATCCAGTCTAAGGATGCTATTGCAATGAAATACGGGCACTGTGAAGGCACTGTAAAAAGGTGAGACTTCACGGGGCAAATGAGTGGCTCAGCCAGTGAAGCATCCAACTTCGGCTCAGGTCATGCTTTCATGGTTCTTGGGTTCAAGCCCTGCACTGGGCTGCCTGCCATCAGCACAGAGCCCACTTCAGATCCTCTG